TAAATATATTTTAAATAACGGAGCATAATTTTACCAAAAACAAATGGAAAATAACAAGATGGCGTCATTTTGAAACCAAATTAACGTTTTTTTGTGATTTTTCGACATTTTTGCTTGTAATTATTATAATAATTAATATTTTTAAAAATTTTTCACATCCTAGTGACACTTAAATATATGTTAAACATCTGCGTTAAGTAATATTAATAAATTTTTGGCGCATGCGCATAATATACTGTGCGAAAAGCAAAAATCACAAAAATTCCTTTCACGTGCCGAAATAAATATTTAAACATACAAGAGACAAGTTTAAACATACGGAGACAAAAATTTACGTGCGTGTATGTAAACGCTGTGTAACTTTGTGAGATAAAGCGCAACAACGTTCAAAGCACTCAAAGCTCAACAGCGCATCGATTCGTTTTACGCGAATCCGAAATGAACAGCGCCATCAAAACTCTCGGCGCTCGAGAGCTAAAAATCGTAAAGCCGGCGAATCGCTCCACACAACCACCACCTCCGCACGCTGCCATACTGCCGCAGGACCTGCGTCTCGCGAAATGGAAACATTGTTTGGCAATTACAATTCTAAAGAAATTGCGCGTTTAATGGGCTTTTTAAAGCTGCGAATCCTATGCCGGAGGGCTGGATGGCTGCTGGATTTTATTCGCCGGCCGTGTGCGTAACGAAATTCGGAACACTTAGAAACCGGCGAGTAGGAAGCAAAAAAATAACAGGAAGAAGAAAAAACAGAAAAAAATACACAGCAGGATTTATAAATCGCACCGGCGGTGAGAATTTTTTTTTGATGGCAAACAGCCGATTTCCATTTGGGTTAATAACAATTTTCACGCTAAGCAAACATTATCACGACGTCATCGCACCCATGACGGCGATAGTAAAGTGGAAAGTGCAGTATTTTAATTAATTACAAGCAAAACAAACAAAACATAAATTATTTCCGTGAAAAAATGAAATTTTATTTATTTTATGGGGCAATTTAGATAAATACCGGTGTATTTTATGTTTGGAAAGTAATTCAGCAAGTTTAATATTAGTTAAAGATTGAAACTTAAGCGATTAACGCTCGCCAGTCGCCATAATGAAATAACAAGTTCGCCTCCTATTTCCTTCTGCGCGATAAAGTAGATTTAACCCAATTTATTCGCGCCGGCAAAACTTGCGCCCGTTTAGCAGCGCGTCTTAAAAGATTACGCGGATTATTTGCGTGGAAAGCTCGTGTGCCACGCGGTGGAAAATAGCTAAACACATCGGCCATCAGGAAGTAAATTTCGGCGATTTTCCACTCGGAGCGTAAAATTCAAATTTCGCCGCGATAGCACGATAGGGATTGAGATCTCTTCATTAAGCGCGCGTGACACTTAAATATATGAGAGCGGTGGGATGATTTTAAGACGCTGCGTAAAAATAGGAAAGTGTGTGCCTTGTTAAAAGACAATAAAAGGTGTGATCGTAAAGTGGCTGATCCGTCAGGAGTAGGAATGGGAGGAATGGGGTCTTTGATGTTCAGACTGGAACGGAATTCTGGATTCGAAGGAAATATAATTAATTGGCATGAAAATGTCTTTGTGCTATGCTAATTGGCAAAGGGCTGGATACTTTTATTATTTGTATGTTTGTGACGCATTCACGCAAAAACCACTCAATGAATTTTGATAAATTTTGGTTTGGAGATATTTTGGACTTAGGAGAATAACATAGGCTACTGCATGTTGCAAAAATATAATTTACAGGGTGTGAAAAATAGTTTGCAAGTTTGTGCAACGAAAAAGATAAATGACGCTGACGCATGCAAAAAAAATGTGATGAAAATGCCTATTGAAGATGACCGCCGGTATTTACGAATTGAATATTACACAGAAAAATAAAGAAAACCATGCTTCTTCCAGGACCAACTATATGTTTCCTGTTCGCGTGTGTCCAATGCCCGAAATCTGCACGTATTTGCACCGGGCGGAAGAACATATAGTATATAGTAACATCTTAGAAAATGCTTCAATTTTGAACTCTAATTGCGATATATTTGAATGAATCAATGTTTTTCAAATTTTTCACTAATTTAAATATTATAGGTTTTAAATACTAGTAATAAAAAAATTCCCAACGCGTTAAAGCTAATATTCACTTTTAAAAATTCAATTTTTTGTGATATTTAGAATAAAATAAATAATTTTTAAACTACATTTTAGTTCTGCGTAGAATTGCGGATGCTGCACATCCGGCATCAATCCGAACGGGTAAAAAGCGACGGCGCTAACGATGTGGCATGTGCCGCCTTCACCGCCGCCACCACCGAATACATTTTAATTAAAGATCTGAAACGTCGCCATTTCGCAATCATGTGTGTGTCGCAAGCGGCGCGCAGATTGCGTGAATACAATTTCTTTTTTCTCGCTGCGCTCCCGCCCGACAGCAATTAAATGAATATATAAAAATACTGCACAGGGCAGAGCACAAGGTAAGTGATACAAATGCTTTTCATTAGTTTTTTTCGCCGTACAACGCAGAAAAATCAATTTTCAGTAAAAATTCCGCCAAATAAAAACATAAAAACGTTGAATTTATATTTTCTATATAATTCTTCAAGTGGAAATTCATTTTTTCATTATTTTTTGTAATTATTCAAGTGCAATCATTGAAAATATCAATTATTCTACGCTATTTCATCTGCAGTAGAGTGGTATGGGTATAGAACTAGTTTATTTCTGTGTATGTATAAGTTATGACGTCGCGCAACGGTGCAAAAAAAGCTCAACGACACTTTCGTTTCCTCCGCCGAGTCTAATTTAATTCCGGCTCGTTGTACACACATCCCGACACGAGTTTACGTCGCCCCCGCCACACGTAATTACTTTTGCGAATCTCTTTGAAGCGAAATTCATACGGACTTCTTTCGCCTGCGCGTCGCGCCCGTCTTCTTTATTCTTATTTTTCCTTCTTTAATTTTTTCAACTGCTGGTATTTCTCCCTCGAGCGCCGGTAATTGATGTAAGATATCTATGTGTCCGACCGTCGGGAATTGAGAATATTATAAATACTTAAAAATCATGGACATCGCAAGCGTGCAATGAAAGAAAAAGCAAATAAAAATTCGAAACAAATTGAATTTTTCATTTTCTTGCATTTCTTATTGAATAATACGTATAATTTGATTTTTTAAAGAATAATATTTTGTTTTAATTCGTGAATGAGAGTCGGAAAGTTGCGCAGCGGCGAAATTCAATAAGCAAGACGGAGTGATTTGGAAATTTAATACAAAACTTGCCAAAAACAAACAAACAACACGCTGAATTTACGAGCGGCGTGCGTGTCGACATGTCGCCTTCCAGTTCTTAGCCGTCATCGTATTTTTCCTACATGATTTCCACGAGTAAAGTGCGAAAAAATTTGACACTTCATAAATTTTCCTCCGAAAAAAAACACAAAAACAAAACAAAACACAAAAAAATCTTATTAAAATTAATCAATAAAAATATTATATTACAATCCCTACTAATATTATAAATGCGAAAGTCTTGATGTTTGTTACACTTTCACGCAAAAACTACTTAACCGATCATCATGAAAATTTGTACACATATTCTTAGTGGTCCCCGAATGGTTATAGGCTACTTTTTATTTAATAAAAAAAATAATTTTTTAAATAAAATAAAGAAATTGTTTAGCCAATAATACCTCTGCATCTGGCTATTTGACTACTTTAACGCCATCTAGCATTCCAGCAATGAAGCTCAAACCTAAGTACTATAGTACCATCACACTGTATTATCACACTGTATTACCGACAGCTACGTCAACATCAAATCCAATTGACTACACTATGGAGACTGTACACTATACTTCCATAGACTATACTTTCAGCCATTTTAAACTTCCCGCCATTCTACTTCATTGATACTTCTTCTGTGACTACAGACGCGTACGGAAGCAACTTCATTATTTTAGATGTTCGCGAGCGAAGCCGCGGGTTAAAGCTAGTGTGAAAAAAAAAATATAAATATGAATATTAACATTGCAACAGGTCCATTGTCATCACATTTTTATTTTATCCGAAGGGGCTTCAGTTAGGTCACAGCGTTCAAAGTTGCCTCTGCACTTTGCAACTTTGTAGTGCAGCGCGCAGCTTATATGCAAAACCAAAGTCCAAAGTTAAAGGTGAACTATGTGGGGAGATAAAACACGAGTGCGCATATTTTTGCTGCTCTAGGTTAGTGGGTACCGGTGTGTGTGGTGAGTACCAGTTTATCCACATCGTTTGGCAATTTATGAACGTGCGGATGCGGGTGCAAATAAACAACGCACTGCAAGATGCAAGATGCCATGTGATGAGGAGACAAAAGGGACTACGAGTACATCGAAGCACTTCGATGCTTAATGGCGCTGTAAACGACCACCGAGTATTGCAAAATCTTTCTTTTTTGTGTCTGGGGAGTTTTTTTAGAAAAAAAAATGAAAAAATGACAGAAAATTAAAAAAAATTCGGTTTTTAAAGAAAAAAAATTTTGAAAACGTATTTTTAGGTCTTGGAATGAGGAACACCCTGTATAAATTAGGAAAACTAGCAAGTAGAGACAACTACTCAACTGTGACGTCAATAAATTGAACCAATAAGCGTTAGGTTAGCTTTAAATTGAGGTTAAAAGCATCAAAAAACCTAAATTTTAAAAAATTCCAAAGAAAAATTGACTTTTTTAACGAAATATTTTTACCAAATTTTTTTTTTCAAAAATTACCAATACCAAACTCAAAATTTGCAAAAAAAAAATTACATATTTTTTTCCTTCTTTCTGGTTTGAAAGAAATATTACCAGACGTACGACGTGAGGTACCTACCATACGCTGGTACTGGTAGCACCTGTGCAGGTGCAAACGCCGCGCACGCGCATTCGCCCCGCTTGAGCTTTACACCAAACGAAAGCTCCTTGCCGCTTCGTATATAACGCCATCGCGGCCGCCAGTTACCAGCCAGTCAACATCGCACCACCGCACCGCAATGCACGCCACCCGAGGCTGTCGCTTCGCGTTCGTCGCCGCGCTTGCCGCGTGTGTTTTAACCACCATCTCCAGCGCCACAACTACTCTGATGGATTCTACACATAGTGTGAGTGCCGCCGATGATGGCGACGTCGATCTGCGCCAGCAGCTGCGTACGCTCGGACGACAAGTCACAGTGCTTCTGGAGCGCCGTCGTGAAGACTTGCAGAGCATCGAGGAGCACATGAGGCGGAAACTTATTAAAAGTCAGGAACTTGTTGATGTCCGCGAGGAGATTCGCAGCTTACGGTAAGCATATTTTTATTGCGCGTTGAAATAAAACAACTTTCACGTCGCGTTGGATAAATTTTTCGTTTTTTTGAAGAGAAATGAAAAGTTTTTCGCTAAAGAAAAGCGTGTAATTAGTTAATTCAAGTCTTTTACTTTTAAGAAGAAAAGCTTTTGTTGTAGAATACTAAATATTGTTTAATTAACTTTTCTTGTGTTTAATTTTCGCCTCAATCACTTAATTTCGCATAAAATACGACGTAAAAGCAGCGTCTGCGTATAAAAACGTTTTCGCACTTAATACGCGTGGATTTTTTCGTGCGTCTCGCCGACACATATTACATAAACAATAACAATAACCATAAAATAGCTCATAATGCGTCACCGTTGCCGGCGCCTCCGCCAACACGCTGCTTAGAAACCTAAGCACGAGCATAAGATAAACTCGAAGCTTTTACTATCTTTGCACACATTTATATATTGTGCGGATGTGTGTGCAGATATTAATGTGTGTGTGTGTGTGCCGGGGCTCGGTCGCTCGTATCGTCGGTGAAAGTAAATGATTGTCGCTTAATTAAAATCCCAACAAAAGAAAGCACACCACGCCGCGCACACACGTCGTATATTTCGCGTATTTATGTGCGCTCTGTTTCTATTTGGCTGCAGGAGGATTTTTTGCGTCTTTTTTGCGTTGCTGCAAGCACAAAACAGTTCGCTTTTTGTACGCCCGAGGTCCTAATTCTGATTAAAGTAGTACGTATCCACTACTCCATGGATATTTCGAAATATATTGCAGAGAATTATACAGTGTGGTCTTATTTTAACGAAAAATCTGTCTATAACGATGAAATTTATACAATTTGTTGAGCTTATATTAATTTTTTCGTTTTAGCGTTATAGATTTTCTGTATAACGACGAAAAATATTTTCATTTCTAGCAATTATGAGCTAGAATTTTTTTTAAAGACATGACATCGATGGTAACATTTGAAATATTGTTGTAATTATGATCCCAACATCCCTACAAATTGCAATGCAAATTTCTATAACTTAAGCACGATTTTTCAGCTAATTTGTTTGCGCTACTAGAAAATCATTTAAACATAACACAAGTGAATACAACTGAGCGACGCGGAATTCATATTTAGACTTCAGGAAATATTTACCGGCATTTTTACTAGAGTAATTGAGTTTATAACCAGCGCAACAAAAGATTAAACAGATGCCAATCCGCGTAAAATCTCAATATTTGGTTATTTTTTGTTCCTTGATGGATAAAACATGCAATAAACTCATTGCTCATTCAATAAATTTAATAATTCTTTAAAAAAATTGAATTCTACGTTAAATTCTACATCAAATATGTAAAAATATGGAAAAATACTTCGTTATATGAAAAGTTATTAACAAATAAAGTTGATTTTACTATAAAATAGTAAATAACTCAAATAAAAAATATTTTTTACTAAATTTTAATAAAAAAATATGAAAAACTTAATTTTCACTACATCAAACATCATTTGTTAATATTTTTGTCTCTCTCTATGTAACATCACCTCTCTATAACGTGCAAATGAAAAAAGTAATAAAGCAAGATTTTAATTTCATATCAAATTTCAAGCGTTTTTTAATTTTTAACGATGAAATGTAAAATGTCCAATCGTGGACTCAATCATGGACTCGCTCGTCTGTGTGTGGTTTTAGTTCTCCGCGCGCAGCATAAAGATACGACGCGTTCGCAGAGGGCGAACGGCGAAAGCTTTTCGAGTTTGTTTAATTAACCCGAATGGCCCGAGGCGCTCACCTCGTGCGCGCGCCCGGCGAATGCACCATTCACCCTCGGCTCGCATTGTACATTTTGCACAAACGCCCAGCCGGTTCCGTACACTTTGGTCGCTGGTACGAAAACGTAGATATAACTTCATTATCAAACGCCTATTTACGGCCTTTTTACGCATATAACCAAAAACATTGCCATTGGCATCAGATTTTCCTATATTCACACCAAACATAACAAAAAATCGCTAAATAAACCTCAAAAAAATAAAAATAAAAATTTCATCATTCGAAGGGAAGATAAAGCGAAGATAAAGCAAAATTACAACAATAGAAATGATTAAATTATTAATGTGCATTCAGAAGTCAGGTTCCGGCCCTAAACTCTCTCCCGCCTGTCGAAATGTAACCCATCTCTGGTCCTCCATATTGGATATCGAGCTTGCCACACTTCCATGCATACGAATCCGGCGATATTCAGCGTCATTTATGTGCGCGACGTGCCTCGAGAGTCTATTCTGTGAGTGTGTTGCAGGTGGAAACTCATTGACCCGAAATTCTTTGACCCGCGATAGATTATCTCTCCCGGAGCTGGCTTTTGTTTAAAGCAGCTACAAACGCGATTTTGACTGATTGATTAACGTTCCGCCCGGGTTGTTACGAGTTGCCCGACCACAATGTGTCACTGATGTTCGCTCGTCTTGTTATACTACGAGTACAGCAAACTCAAACAGTAATTTTGCGCATTCCGTGAATGTTCAAATGTTAATTAACACTGATGTTAACATTTTACATTACTGAAATTTTTTCCAGCACGCAAAAAAGGTTTTGGACTTTTTCCTGTCGTTATGTAAATGAACCCTTTTTACATACAAAAAAAAAACCGTTTCGTTATGCGCGGAATTTTTATTTTATCGTTGGAATTCCGGCGTGCTTTACGATTATTGGAAAACGTGCGAAAGTTGTAATTGTAATCGTTTTTGGCATTCCCCAGATTGGACATCGAGCAACTGCGAACCGGGCACAAGGCCCATCACGCCCCGCACGCCGCCTCCTCGATGGGAAATCAAGAAAAGAACGATCATCTCACTGTGAAATGGCTCTCGAATGCCATGCAGGAAGTGCGGACTGAAATGGCCGAGATCCAAACAACGATCAACTCCACCGCCATCTTGGTGGAACGCGAACGCGTTGATGGTCAACTCGCCCTGCTCAAAACCGACATCACCGATCTCAATAAAGCGCTGGAGGTTAGCCGGAGTCAGAACGCCAAGTACGAGGCGCAGATACTCGAGATGCGTGAGGAGATGGCGTCGTTCAAGGACCACTCGAAGGCGACAGCTGTCGCATGCGCCAAGACAAAGAATCAGGTAAGTTTTTAATTTTTTTGCGGAAAAAATTAAATAATACCGGTATTTTTTAAAATTTGGAAATACCGGTTATTTAAACTACCGGTTTTTGTCTTTTCTTGTTTAAATTTTTGGTTTTTTATTTATAAAATTAAAATACCGGTTATTTAAGAATACCGGTATTTTTCCCACCATAAACCAAAATACCGGTATTTTTAAAATTTGTATTTTCTGCTCGAAAACAGTATAATTTTGCAATTTCGTAATTTCCACGCATATTATCATCCCAACCCATTCTTATCATTGTACAATCACACAATGCGAACGTATTGAATTCAAAATAGTGCGCAGTATGTACATTTCCCTGTTAATGTGGGTAGCGAGCAAGAATACCCGAGCATGCCCGCGTTGTGCGCGCGCGGTAAAACGATTTCATAACGTGAAAACGAATCCAATTAACTAGACAAATAGAGGTGCTTAATTTGCGCGCGCCTCTGCCCCACCGCGCACTCTTAACAGTCTTAATTTCGCATTCAGCATGGGGATTTACCCTCGTCGCGAAATATTCGGGTTGACGTTTTTCCACTTATTATCTACGTGCTTTTCCACAATGAATCCCACACACAGTACGAGTAGGTAAAACTAGAACATTTGTACCTACGTCTAAGTTCTATGAAATTGACGTGTTTTTTGCCCTCTGGCGTTAAATGAGGTGTGCGAAACGTTGAGTTATTATATTCCGAGTTTACTACAAAACCAAAAGGGGTTACCACTTGCAAATGTTAGTTATTAATTATGACTGGGTTAATTACTTTCGCGCAGCGCCCTTTGCAACCCTACGTACGATACAATTTTACGACTTGCGGATGAAATACGACTTGGGTTTAAGTGATGCCCGGGACCAAAAATTTCCATTTCTGGAGATCTTCACAATCAAACACAATCCTACATCCGGATAATATTGGTCCAAGACGCAGACCCTACCAAGGGTTTGTTTGCGAATTGTAATTAATGATTTAATTAACGCGCTGACCCTTCAACGGGTTCCAAAAATAAAAATTGCTTGATTCTTTTTATTGACGGAGAAAATCGACATTTAAAAAAATACCGGTATTTTTGCTATCAAATACCGGTATATTTAATAACCGGTATTTTAGAAAATCGTAAGTTTTGAAAAGATGAAACAAAATTTAAAAAAATATATATCTACGTAAAATTAAAAAAAGAAAAAAAAATCAATTAAAAAAAATACCGGTATTTAATTTTTCGAACCAAAAAAGACAGAATTTATTTAATAACCGGTATTTTTCTATCACGTAATAAATATTCCCACCGAAATCTATGCATTCAATTACGACAAATAAAAATTATCTCTGGTAATGTAAATTTAATTTTCCAGCCACCCCCATGGGGGCTGTAGCGCCTGCTGGCAAACATTTGCAAACTAAAATATGCATTGTGTATTTTGTGCGGTTATGCGGAACTGATACGCATCTGCCGCGCGGCGAGCCCGCAATTTTCATATTTTTCTACTTTGCACGCCGCGTCGCGCCCTTGCGCATATGTAATACGACCGCGAAATTCCACCGCCCCCGACCCCGTCAAATATTTCACATTATTATCGTGCATTACAAGCACGCCGTGTGGAATTTTTAATTTCCACGCTCAATCAATAAAATAAAACCTTTAAAAACAAATAAAAATTTACTTCAAACACTTTATACACGACACGTGTCAACCTAACCTCAATTTTGAGCTCTATATCGATTTACGGCGTGTTTCAATCACGAGCGTCGTTTTGTTTATTGCACGGCGTGAATTTTCCGTGCGATTTGATTTACAGCCAACGCAAATTGGCAAAATTTGCCGGCGGAGCCAATTTGAATTTCATCCCTTCGAAAATCGAAATCAACCGGCGTAAAAATGACTAAATTAATTTCTGTACACGTATATGTATTATTGCTCTAGAGAAATAATGACATTATTAAATTGTAGCTAAACTCACGCGTTAATTATTACACAGCATAAAATTTATTTCCTATTTACATTCACGCAAAGGTAGAGAGGAGGAAAACGCGAAAATTGTCGCCGTGGAATTCTTCAAGGATTTATTGCAAATAAGAAAACCGTGGCGTAATTTATCAAAGCGTGATTTATATAGAACACGTTGAGGGTGAAATGGGGCCATCGCGCACCCCCCCAACCCCTCTCATCCTCTTTCTCCCTCCAGCAGAACTTTGGTTCCGGTTGGACGTAAAAAATAAAAAAAAACAGAGCTCAGGAATAGCAATGGGGATGGGAATGCAGAGAGGTAGATAGAAAGCGCGTGTTTTTAAGGGCATCGTTTTTCCCTCATTTCCAACTCGCACCCCCACACCTTCACCGGGCGTTTCTTGCATTCCGCGCATAGCGAATGATGCAACACACAAACAATTTGTCCCAAAATCTAGGCCACTGTGTTTCAGCAGCTTTCGGCTGGCGAGAGAGTACTTCCCGCCTTCAACGCCGCTTCACGTCATCATGTCATGTCACACTTCCCCCGCGAAAAGCGGAAATGTTTGTTGAAAGTCTTGTGATTTCCTCCTGCCTCGTAAAGCTTTCAGCCGGGCGGACAGGTCGCGACAAGTGAATCGGAATTATGATTCGTGTAAAACCCTTTTTACGCCGTTGCCGCTTTTAGTCATCAAACGCGTGCGATGACTCTTGACGACGTGAAAGGGTTGTGACGAGGAACGGGCGTGTAAACAAAGTCGGAATAATTCATGCACACACACACACACAGACACAGAGAAACAAAATTTTGGTGGAGGCGCCGGGGTGTTGGGGAATAAATATAGAGTGACGATGTGACAATATTGCACTCAATCAAAACTTGTTAATGAGTAAATAATTTCAGCCCTTCAAGGACATTGTGTGTTTCATGTGTGTTATCTACTTCACACGTAGGCGAGCATAGATTGGATCGATTAACATCGATCGCCGAGGCGCAATTTTCCGATGTGTGTGCGTGTGTATAATGGAAAAAAGGTTTTCACCCCTCAGCAGGGGTTGAAATTGGTTTTCTATCATGCGGGGATGATGTTTGATTATCACGTTACAGAAAAAACTTGATTTTTACCTTTATTTGATGAAGAATGGAATAAAAACTAACCTGAAACAAAGAAATAATAATTTTCATTATTCACTTGGGTATAATACGAGTGCAGAAATTAATTCATTTAATCTTGATGCGCAATGAAAGTCCCCGAAGGGTCAGCCCCAGGGCATCCCCTTGGGATACGCGTCGATCTCTCGAAAATTGCAATAAATTCACCGCGAGAGGCACTCATGGCATATGATTGTACGCTCGGGTGCGCGCGCATGGGAAAAGTCGCACTCGTGAGAAATAAAAACGCGAGCGTGATGCGAGCACACACGACTTGGAAAAATATTCCGAACCGAAGCGACCGAAAATTATATGTACCCACACACATATATACATATAAAAGAGGAACAGGAGAATTATTCCGCGGTACAAAACGAGCGGGTGATTTATATTTGTTGAATGTGGACCTTCCTGCGAGCGGAGATTAAACGCAGAAACGCAGAAGGTCAAAGAAAACGAACAAAAGTGAAAAGGTCAGACGGTTTTTTCGTCTTCTTTTTTTTTTGTTACGCGGCGAGGAAAGTAACTTTATTTAAACACCGCGCGAGCTTTGTTCAAAATCAAATAGCTACAGGGTATTAAAGATTAAAGAAGTTTTTTTGGAAAATGGAAACAAAAATGTGTTTTTCTCCATAACTATGGGAAATTAAGCTGTGAAATTTTGTATATTGATATATCAGTTCATTATCTACTACACAATATATTTTGCTAGAAAAATGATTTGTAGTTTAATAGTTATTCGTAATTTTGTAAAAAAATGCAACCGATTCACCTCTGGAATTAGTTTATTAGCGATGCCTAAAGTGTGGTGTTGATTGGGTTGCCTATTTCTGCAAAAAATGCTATGCAAAATCAACGATTTTTCGCGATTCTCGCCTCTATTTAATTTTGAAAAATACAGTTTAGCTGTTTTCTAATAGATGGCACCATCATATACCATGTGTGACAGATGGAGTTGGCTGTTTAATATATATAATATTGAGCGTACAGATTTGATAATGCTCGTCTGTCACATCATGATTAAATTATCACATAATTTATATTTGTCAAATATAAAGTGACAACTTTAAAGATTTAAACAACCAAGCATTATTTTATAAATAACAAGCATTTTATACAAAATTCCAACATTTAATTCATATACAATTACATCTACTACAAAAACAGAAAGTTTGTTTTAAAATTAAAACAAAATAAAAAAAAAAAATTAAAATGGACGCAAATATACGCGATAATGCGAAATCCCCGTGGACCGCACAGCGTGAAACACAAGTTCGACTTCATTCCAAAGTCGCCCAAGCACCGACGAAACTTTTTCCAAGTAATAAAACTCGCATGCGCCGCGTTCGGCTCGTGAAACTTTGATAACATTTATGAATTTCGATGTGGCGACTCCGTAGAATGATTATCCCTAAAGGATTCCCGCCCTTGCGTCAACCCACATTCTAACCTCAAACCAAGTTTTAAGAAGACTCTCAACACCCACACACGCTGCGTATTTTTACAACACTCATGATTATTCAACACACGTATATGTATAATATGTATATGTGTGTGAGTATATGGTTTAAATTGCAAAACTTTAACTTGCCGCCTCTTTAAGCAGAGGGTTTATGAATTCCAATCGTTTATCGCTTTCCTCGAGGCGCAAAATTAGCGCAGCCTCGTGTTTGCGTTGAGCTCGCGGGATTTGCGATCGTTAATAATCCGGCTATTATTCATCGACGAAACTTTTCCGCAGCGTGAGCATCCGGACCACGAAAATATTGCGAATATTCGAAATGAAAAACCATTCAATCATTGCGTTAACTTTTTTAATAAGCATCCGGCAAATGCGATCGATTTGGTGCGCGGGGCAAAATAAACATCCGAATCA